ATATAGTATTATATATAAGTGTTAGTATTGCAGAGGAGTATTTATAGTGGTATAGTGTTAGTCTGGTATTATATATAGTATATATAGTATTATATATAAGTGTTAGTATTGCAGAGGAGTATTTATAGTGGTATAGGGTTAGAATAGTTTTGTCTATAGTGGTATAGTGTTAGTATGGTATTATATATAGTATATATAGTATTATATATAAGTGTTAATATTGCAGAGGAGTATTTATAGTGGTATAGAGTTAGAATAGTTTTGTCTATAGTGGTATAGTGTTAGTCTGGTATTATATATAGTATATATAGTATTATATATAAGTGTTAGTATTGCAGAGGAGTATTTATAATGGTATAGGGTTAGAATAGTTTTGTCTATAGTGGTATAGTGTTAGTATGGTATTATATATAGTATATATAGTATTATATATAAGTGTTAGTATTGCAGAGGAGTATTTATAGTGGTATAGAGTTAGAATAGTTTTGTCTATAGTGGTATAGTGTTAGTCTGGTATTATATATAGTATATATAGTATTATATATAAGTGTTAATATTGCAGAGGAGTATTTATAGTGGTATAGAGTTAGAATAGTAGTAGTGTCTATAGTGGTATAGTGTTAGTCTGGTATTATATATAGTATATATAGTATTATATATAAGTGTTAGTATTGCAGAGTAGTATTTATAGTGGTATAGAGTTAGAATAGTTTTGTCTATAGTGGTATAGTGTTAGTATGGTATTATATATAGTATATATAGCATTATATATAAGTGTTAGTATTGCAGAGGAGTATTTATAGTGGTATAGGGTTAGAATAGTTTTGTCTATAGTGGTATAGTGTTAGTATGGTATTATATATAGTATATATAGTATTATATATAAGTGTTAGCATTGCAGAGGAGTATTTATAGTGGTATAGAGTTAGAATAGTTTTGTCTATAGTGGTATAGTGTTAGTCTGGTATTATATATAGTATATATAGTATTATATATAAGTGTTAGTATTGCAGAGGAGTATTTATAGTGGTATAGAGTTAGAATAGTTTTGTCTATAGTGGTATAGTGTTAGTATGGTATTATATATAGTATATATAGTATTATATATAAGTGTTAGTATTGCAGAGGAGTATTTATAGTGGTATAGAGTTAGAATAGTTT